CAGGGTTCGACCTCTGCGGTCGTATCAAGCTGCGCCCTGCGGAGCATTTTATTATTTTGAGTTATTATCATTTGAACAGAAATGGTGTAATTAATAAGTATATGGATAGATAGTCTATCAATGATTGTATCTTTTCAATTGATTTTAGTCAGGAGTTGTCAAAAATTTCTTTATGACTATTTTTTTTAAGTCATGTGTGTTTTGAAGGTAGATGTCACAGTTGTTATGTGGTATTTTATTTTTGTTGTGTGTGTTAATGTTTAATTTTTACTTGATCCTGTTTGTGGGTCCAGATTTGCAAATATCATTTTCATTAGATAATAATCTATCTTTATTAAAGGATATATTTCATTACATTACATTGTGTAGATAAAGTTGTTGACATTGATAGATAAGTTGCAGATATTAGTTTGTGACAAATGAAAGAAAAAATATTGGGAACTATTAATTATATATATAAAGTTTGATTACACTAAGTGTTTTTAAGATAACAAAGCATGTGGTAATTATCAATCACAAACTTATAATTGGATTGACAGATTTATTTGAAAATTTTGTGTTTCCTAAGTGTTGTTGATGATAAGCTCTGTAGGACAGTATAAATATAGTTTAAAATTTACTGTTCATTATTAGACATTTTGAAGATAATTACAGATAAGTTATATAGATTTTTAAAAGACATTGTATTAATGATAAATGATATTTTAGAAAAACTTTTTTTTTTCTTTGGTAAATTGTTTGAAGAATTTTGTGGTAGGTTTGTTTGTTATTCTGTATAAACTAATTTTCTGAATGCTATATATATGTTTTTTTTACTTGATCATGTTTGGGGGTCCAGATTTGCAAATATCATTTTCATGCAGGAAAATCCGGTTTGCTGTCACTCTGACAGCCTCTTGTTTTATTATCAATCATTTTCATTAGTCAGAAGCGCTTTTCTGGATTTACCTTCATCAGGAAAGCTTTTATGTAAAATATTAGCAGGGCCAAACTCAAACCTTCTCCGGTACTCATATCAAGATGAAATATGGCCTTGTTTATACTTTAGTAATTAGTATTAACTATTAACTATAATGTTCAGACATTATCATCTTGAAAATCAACGCATACACTGAATGATCATTGTTCAGGGATTATAGAAAAAAAGAGGATGCAATTTATTCTGATCGGAAATACATAGCAACTAATTGCTGCACACGTACGATACAAAAAGCAAATTAACATAAACTTTGGAATACATTTGCAACTCCCCGTTAACGAATGCATAGATTTCATTTTAGTGGAAAATAAAAGAAAAATCTTTAATATGTTCTTTCATAGTTCTTGTTCTTTTTTACTTATCTTTCATATTTTTTGGGGAGGGGGTTATAGATGCATCAAAGGGGACTTTCTTTAAAATTATAATAAATTAATGCATTACACTTAGTTACTTTCTCATTATACTCAATATTGTATATCATAGAACTAGGTTTTAGGATCGACCAATGGAGATTAATAACCTCCTTAGAAATGGGAGACACTCTAACCCTAATTTTACAATTCGTTGACTTTCGTGAAGTTTCCCTTCCATGCAAGTTCTCTGATCTTACAGAATCATCAAACCTACAAATATATAAAAGGTAACCCGTATGTAATGTGTTTATGATTTCTATTACATCCAACTCTATTCTCTCATTTTTTTTAACCAAATCATATAATAAAGTTATTTGATGGATTTAAATATATATCAACTTACATCTAGATATGATTATGATTTATTATTGTTATTAACAGCATACATCCAATGTCATTTAATTTCCATAATAATAAGATTTTTAGATTGATTCTATTTTTGTTTCCTTTCTGGTACTACTCTTTCTTATCATTAAGCTAAAACCCGTTCCATATTGCTTCTGCTTCATCTATATTAGCTCCCAGTACATCCCATTTGGCGAATCTGTCCAAATTATATGATTATTTCTGCAGTAGTATCTTGTTAATGAAAATAATACATTATTAGTTTCGTGCGTCCAAAACGCTTTTCTAGATTAACTTTCATCAGGAAAGCTCAAACTTTAACATTTGAAAGCTAGTTATGTATAAATATGTAAAAACGTTAGGAGTTTATAACCAAAAGAGACCTAAACCGGATACCTTAGTTCAACTTTTCCTGAGGTAGGTGGAACCTTTAGTTTCTTTATACCAAAGCACTGGCTACTGAGCTGGTGTTACCTTCGGGGAATAAGCAGCAGTGAAATCGACTCAGTGCTGGGAAATGAAATAACACTCTATCAATTTCGTTTGTCCGAAGATCTTTTCTGGTTTAACCTTGAACAAAAACGCTCAAACTTAACATTTGAAATCCAGTAATGTTTACATAGGTAATTAAACGTAAATAGCAGTTTGATTAAAAAGTACCTTTAAAAAATTGCCAAATACATCTAATGTCAACTTTACCTGAAAGATTTGAAACTTTTATTTCTTAACAATTTCCCAATTAATCAACGGACAATTTCAGAAAGATACGTTATAAAACATGTCAGTACCGAAGCACTGACTACTGAGCAGATGATACCACCGAAAACTACAGTACGCCAGGCAGATGTTTCGACCCAGTTTGTAAATGAAATAACCCTTTGTATCAATTTCGTGCTTCCAACGCGCTGTTCTGGATCTATCTTCATCAGGAGCGCTTAAACTCTAACATTTAAAAGCAAGGGATGTATGAATTCGTGGAAACGTTAGCATTATAATAAAAGGAAATAAAAAGAATGGTCAAAAACAACTAAGGTCAACTTGACCTGAGGGAGTTAAAAACTTATCTTACTTTACGATAGAATCGCCATGTATACTTTCGTCTTCGTCAGAAAATTACCATTTAAGAGTAGTAGTAGCAGAACACGAATACGCTTTCTCTAAATCTGATAGAAGTAGCAGACCACGAATACGCCTTTTCTAAATCTAATAGAAATAGCAGTCAAGGCATACGCTTTTTCTAAATCCAATAGAAACAGCAGACAGGGAATACGCTTTCTCAAAATCTAATTAAAAATGCAGACAAGATAAACGCTTTCTCTAAATCTAATAGAAGTAGCAGACAATGATTATACCTTCTCTCAATCTAATAGGAGTAGCAGACCAGAAATATGCTTTCTTTAAATCTAATAAAAAAAACACAGACAAGGAATACGCTTTCTCTTAATCTAATAGTAATAGCAGAAAAGGATTACGCTTTCTCTAAATCTAATAGTAATAGCAGAAAAGGATTACGCTTTCTCTAAATCTAATAGAGATAACAGACAGGAATACGCCTTCACTAATGAATACGCTTTTTCTAAATCTAATAGAAGTAGCAGACAAGGAATACTCTTTTTCGAAATCTAATAGAAATAGTAGACAAGGAATATGCTTTCTCTAAATCTAATAGAATTAGCAGACTAGCATACGCTTTCTCGAAATCTAATAGAAATAGCGGATAAGGAATACGCCTTCTCCTAATCTAATAGAAGCAGCAAACAAGGAATACGCTTTCTCTTAATCAAATAGAAATAGCAGACAAGGAATACACTTTATCGCATTCTAATGGATGTAGCAGACAAGGAATACACTTTCTCGAAATCAAATAGAAGTAGCAGACAAAGAATACGCCTTCTCTAAATCTAATAGAAATAGCAGACAAGGAATAAGCTTTTTCTAAAACCTATAGAAGAAGTAAACAAGGAATACGCCTTCTCTAAATCTAATAGAAGTAGCAGACAAGGAATACGCTTTCACGTAATCTAATAGAAATAGCAGACAAGGAATACGCTTTCTCGAAATCTAATAGAAGTTGCAGACAAGTAATACGCTTTTTTTTTAAATCTACTAAAAATAGCAGACAAGGAATACGCATTCTCTAAATCTGATAAAAGCTGACCATGAATGTTTTCTTTCTCCTTTCTAGAAATTAAATCAAAAACAGAACTGGAATTTTGTTTTTCAACTTGCCGAGGAAAAGTTAACCATATATTGGTCTGTATATGCTTTTTTGTGCTCTCAAACGTTGCATACTTTACTAAAAATTTATGTCTTGTTCGTTTCTGGCAAAGGCTACTCCAGAAACTTGAACCTTTTCAAAATAAATTTAATCTGGTTGAATATTTGCGTCTTCATAATACCAATTCCAGTCAATGCACATCTTAATAATAAAAATCATAGAATTTTACTGAAGTGAAGAATGATTTTACAAAATTTGAAATCCGAGATTTAATATCAGGAAAATTGAGGTTCGAAAGATCCAAAGTACTAATTTAAAAGAAAGTTATTTCAAAATGTCAAGGACAATTAAATTTCTGTTCACAAATTAATGTTTTATGCCGTTTAGATTTAATGGTATTGGTAGTTTTATACCCATCCAGAGCACCTGACTTCACCCCGGTTTTTTGGTGGGGGTTCATGTTGAGTTTTGTATATTGTTGTTTATCTTTTGGTCATTTTTTGTTTTTTGCCATTGCATTGTCAGTTCGTTTTCAACTTGTGAGTTTGATTATCCCTTTGATATCTTTCACCTCTCCTTTATAATAATATTTTGTCTTTGAAGATTTCAAAATCCGCTTTCTTCATCAGAAGATGTTAAAATTTGAAAAGAAGTGTGAGAATAACAGATAACACTGTTCATGCTAACTTCAGTACATACACTAGGCCCATTAATTTAATCTGTCAATTAGAAAAGCGACACACAAAAACGGGTCAGTCTCCTCATTTAGTATTCTAGATAGGAATACAGTTGGAATAATTGTGTTTTGCAAAACTGGAACTTGAAATACTTTTTATAGCACTTATAGGCTAACAGGTTAAGTCTTATGGTGAAAATCGTTTGGAGTAGTTATAAAAACCATTTTTTATGAACCAAATAACAAAACAAAAAAAAAACCAAAAAAAAAAAAACCAAATAGAATAAGATAAAATCAAATCAAATAGATAATACAAAAATATTTGTTTCAGGACAATATTCTGTTATAAAATATTCTATTTTGTTATAGAGTTTTTTGGATTGTTTTGTGGTTGGCATCAGCTAGTTACTTGATATATATCGTAACCACCGAGTTATCATCATACTACCGGTATCCATCAATCACAACAGTGTCTGTGAGGTATGCCGATAAACTACAATTTCCCGCCATTACGGTCTGTAACCTTGCCACAAAGAACAGAAGCATATTTGGAGATGATAACCGCACAGAGCATTATTACCTTCGAATAACTCCTCAACCTGCAGCAGCAACACCTATAAATTGGAGTGATCCATTCTATTCCACAGAAGGCTTTTTTAATAAACGGACAATTGAAGATCTTTACTATGAATCTAAACAACTATCTCAGTTTATAGAGTTCCATGAATTTGATTTGAAAAGTAATTATTTAAATTACTCACCAGTTGCAACAGACCTTGGACTTTGCGTGAGATTTAATGGTGATATCCCTGTTACTACTGCCATGTATGGAGGACTTTATAATCTACATGTGTATATAGATCTTCTTCTTGATGACGATTACTATCCTGAAAGCTATGTTTCATCTGGATTAAAGGTAAAATAAAATATACAGCCGTCGAATAAACATTTCCTTTTTTGTTTTTACTAATTTTTAGAAATAAAAAGCCATTAAAAGGTCAACATACTTTTCAACACTAGATAAGTTTGTATTAAATATTTCAAGCTCCAAAATTCATTATGATTCTAGAAAAAAAAACCATGTAGTCTATTACTTAAACATAAATTACCAAAGGTCAGCCGTCAAGACCAAATTCCTTAATTGGTTAAATACATTAAAAGTGCATTAGCTGTCAAATTCATGTTCACCGATTTAACTAAAATTTTTATTTTTGATGTATAACATACTAACACGTATATCCAAAATACAAATAGTCTAAAATAAACAATTAACAATGCATGGACTCGATAATATATATCAGCATTTCGTGTGCATTTTAGTCTATACGCCAACTTATTAACCATTGAGATGACCTCCGAAGACTGCCGACGGTCATATAACCCGAAATAAACATTAATATCAATATAAATATATAGCGACCACGTGCAATTGGATTTTTCTAGGTCAGTTTGATTTCATGTTATAGATTAACAATATGTTAATCATCATTTTTACCTGTATAAGAATGATTTTTTTTTATCGAATCAGTTAACGAAATTGTTCACCCCTTTTTCACTTTCAATGTTGACATTCTTTTCCTTTTAATAGCCGAACACGACTATTACATTGGAAACCAATCTCCAGCTAAGGGGTTATATTGAAGTTCAAATGAATACGGATTCACATGAAGTCGAATTATTCACTTGCAAGTAAATAATACATCAGCGATGTTTATAAGCTTATTTTGACCGGTTTTGGCCAAACTAAGTGCTTGTGACGAAATATTATTTAAAAATTCCGCTTTGATTAATACTTGAAACAAAAAGAATCGTATTTTAAGTGTTTGTCTAACTCGTAGCTTATGCCCCTTTAAAATGTATTCTAATATGACGACCTATAATACATCGTCAACCAGTATAATCACAGTATATCTACTTTTAGCGCAAACACATTAATACACAAAATTGGCTGTTCCGCGTTGTTTTGCTTGTTTCTACACAGTTTTGATTTAAAAGAAAAACTGACATGGTTAGAAAATACAAACAATTACACCAATACTAACACAATTGAATTCTATATCAATATACTTGTAATGGTTAGAAAATACATAAATTAACACCATTACAAACTTAATCCCAATTTTATATTCTATTTTTAGAAATTTACCTGTGACTTCACTTTTTGTGGCGTTGATACATTCGGGTGACGCACAGTTCATAATTCGATTGTGGTGTACATGGGAGGTGTCCGTTGTTATTCTGTGGTTAACATGTTGTAATGTACTATTATATTATTTATTTATGCATTTCTCTGTCCTGAGTGTTCTTGCGTTTATTTGTACTGTATTCCTGTCACGTAATGTTGTCATTTTAGCGGTATTTTTAACATTGCCATATAAGCGAGAGGTTTGGATAGCCATAAAACCAGGTTCAATCCACCATTTTTTCTTAAAATGTCCTGTACCAAGTCAGGAATTTGGCACTTGTTATCAAATAGTCCTTTTCTATGTATGTTGGCGTTTGTTTTTGTAGCAGTTCAGTGTTTCTTTTATTCCGTTGTTTTCCTCTTAAAGTTGATGTGTTTCTCTCGGTTTTGGTTTGTGACCCAGATTTGTTTTCGCTTAATCGATTGATGGCTATTGAACAGCGGTATACTACTGTTGCCTTTATTTATATGTTGCTTTCCAGGCGTATGGATTATTTTCATATCGTATAAACTTAGAATCTGAAGCCATCTGGCTATTTGTCTCTCTGGCTCCTTGAAATTAAGAAGCCAGGTTACGGACAATAGACTGTTTACCATACAAGTAATGTTTGAAATGTTTTGTAAAATGAACTACTGCGAGTAGTTCCTTTCGGGTCACACATTATATGCTTTATTGTATTGTTAAAGTGCGACTCCCGAAACCAATTGGTTTTTATGCCCCCGCCGTAGCGGAGGGGACATTCAGTTTTACCCTTGTCCGTCTGTACGTCCGTCCGTCCGTCCGTCCGTACGTCCCAAAGTTTGTTTCCGTTCTATAACTTTAGTTTGCCTCAACCAAATGTTACGAAACTTATACACAATGCTTATTACCATTAAATACAGATCGAGTTTGAATTTTGATGGCATCACTTTTACCGTTCTAGAGTTATGTCCCTTTACAAATGGAAAAATTGCTAAATTTTTCGTTTCTGTTCTCTAACTTCAGTTTGCCTCAACCAAATGTTATGAAACTTATACACAATGCTTATTACTACAATATACAGATCAAGTTTGAATTTTGGTGCTGTCACTGTTACTGTTCTAGAGTTATGCCTTTTACAAATAGAAAAATTGCAAAATTTTTCATTTTTTTTCTAAAAGTATCAATCAAGTAATTTTTAAATTGGAGTTATCTTGCTTTGTCCATGATTATAGTTGAATCAACTACAATCAATGCGTTATACAATGCAATGTTTAATTTTGCCTTCCACTGATAAATTATTTATATTGAATATAGCATCTTCTGCATGAAGAAGTAATTTGGTAGACTTTAATACAGTACTAGCTGTGTATGGATTCCTACACTTTTTCAAATGCTATATACAAAGGGAGGGAATTCAATTTCTTTTTAGTAATCTAAAGTGGAGGTTTAATCAGGTTTTTTCTGCAAACCAATATCCCTAAGCCAATAGCTTGTTTCAAAATTAGTTAAGACTTGTAAAAGCATTTTTTAGATGGAAAAAAATGCAAAATTTTTAGTTTCCGTTCTCTCACTTAAGTTTGACTTTACAAAATGTTATGAAACTTATACACAATGCATAACCACAAAACACAGATCAACTTGAATTTGGGTAGTGTTACTTTAACCATTATCGAGTTATGCCCCTTTATAAATCATAAAGTTCCCGTCATTAGTTGCCGTTCTATAACTTAAGTTTGCCCCAACCAAACATTATGAAACCTATACACAAAACTTATTACCACAAAACTCAGATCAAGTACAAATTTGGGTAGCATCACTTTTATCGTTCTTGAGTTATGTCCCTTAATAATGTTGTATGCAAGCGGGGGCATCATCTGTGTCCATGGGGACACATTCTCCATTTATTTTTCTTTCCCATCTATCTCTTGTGACAGCACTTCTCCAATAGCCTCATTACTTGCATCTGTATCAAGTATAAAGGTTTGAGTAAAGTCAGGGTGAGCCAATACTGGTGAGGAGTCTAGTCGTGATTTTAAACATTCAAATGCCTCTTGACACTATTCATTCCATTCATATTTTCTGTCCTTTTCTGTCAATCTATGCAAGGATTTTGCAATACCTGAAAAGTTTTGTATAAATTTTCTGTAATAGCCGAAAAACCCGAGGATTGATCGCAGTTCCTTAACATGTTTCGGTACAGGCCATGTCTCGATTATTTCCGTTTTCTCTGGATCAGTAGCGATCCCTGCTGGAGAGATAACATGTCCAAAATATATAACATGTTTTGAGAACAGTTCACACTTTTTCGCCTTCAGTTTTAGTCCACCTGCATAAAGTCGATCAAATACTTTTTGAAGGTTTGTTACCATGTCATCGAATGATCTCTCAAGAACTTTAATGTCATTGAGATATATGAGGCCAATGTCCCTTTGAACGTCAAGTAAAACAATCTCCATCAACCTTTCAAACGTTGCTGGAGCACCCTTTAATCCGAAAGGCATTACTTTAAACTTGTAGTCCAGATCTGGTTGCAAATGCTGTTTTCGGTTGATCATCTAATGTTGAATACCAGGTGAATCAAGAGAAGTGATCAAACGAGCCATCAATCCAGAGTAAAGGATACGCGTGATTAACTGTGACTGCATTCAATTTCCTATAATCTACACAAAAGCGCATTGTCCCGTCCTTCTTTCCTCCAAGAATAACTGGAGCTGACCAAGGACTCATTACGTCCAATAGGTCACAATCTAGTATGATGTTGTTCGTAAATAAAGGTGTCGATCCAATTTAGAGAACTTCTGAGAATATTAATGTCTATGTCTGAATGTTAACTTTAGTGTCTGTAGATATATATATATATAGTTGTCACGGAAATCTCTAGAACACTATAGAAGGGAAACTCCTAGAAAACTTTAGAACGGAATTCCGTCAACTTGCTCATCCACCTCTTTTGCTAGAGTATGTGGGAGTCTTCGTGGCGCTTGTTTTATCGGCGAAGCTGTGCCTGCATTTATTTTATGTTTTACTACACTCGTTTTACCCAAGTCTGAATCTGAAGCAGAAAACAGCGTTTCGTATTCTTTTAATAAATTTTCAACTACAGCATATTCTGTGGAATTCAAGTGTTGTTGTGAACTCCGATCTTAGATATGTCTTGTCATATTTATTCTGCTCGTTCATTTTTACTTCTTGCACAGGACTTACCTGAGCAATAGTATTTCCATGATATATGATTTGCGAATCTGCAGATGAATTCTTCAAACGAACTAAAACTTCTCCACCTGATTTAGCTAATGAACGTCCAACTAAACCTTTTTCACTTTGCACAGGACTTACCTGAGCAATAACAGTTCCAGGATATATGATCTGCTAATCTGCAGATGGATTCATCAAACGAACTAAAACTTTCCCACCTGATTTAGCTAATTAGCGTCCCACTAAACCTTTTTCACTTTTCAAAAAGTTATCTGCAGCTTAAACCATGAGGTCTGAATCATGAATAGCTTCATTGTTTGGAATACTCACATATCACTTTTAGCGGGCACTACCACTTTCTCTTTGGCAATAACTCTGAAACATCCGAACATTCCTTCATATTTCAACACAACATGAGTACCATCGATTTCAACCCTTTTCTTCTCAAGATTCATAAAATCAAGATCAATTGTGATATGAGCCACAAATGCCTCGACAACAACCGATTTTCCGTGTTGAAAAACAAGATGAAAATTACCTTTACATACAATCTTAAGTTTATCACCACTGGCAG